GGCACATACACACACACACACACCTGCACTCTGTAATACTTATATTGTACAATTGTTGTGGTCAGTGCATGCGGTCACACACAAAAGGAGTGAAAAAAGAGGAGACCAATACGGCTAGACATCAGACTGTAGGCTACCAGAGGAACGAAAAGACAAGAGGGCCGCGCCGCGTCGGCAATCGGTGCGTCACTTGCCTGCAGACCAGGCGTCGTGCGCGATTGGTGTCGCTCATTGTGACACATACGCCCTCGTAGCCCCAGAGGGTGGAACATCCAACGCCAACCCAAACACAGCTGTCAACACGCCATTGCCACAATCGTGAAGAGCCGGCTGGCACCACACACGGCAAGAGGGACACACCAAGACACGCCATGCACCAAAGGGACGCATCAAGCCCGCAAACAGTGCGCACCGCTCCAACACCGCAGGGCCCTCCCGCACGCACGCACCGTCCTCCTCCTTCCTTATCTTCGGCTCATTGCCGCCACATCCGACACCCGCAACTCACAATACCAGAGGGAAACACAAAAAAGCTGAAGCAGCAATAACAACAAAACTGCCACCTTGTTGCGCTGACGCCACCGCACGAAAGGGTGCGCCGGCGATGGGAGTCCATCGCGCAGGAGACGGAAAAGAGCCCAATGAGACACCCAGGAGCCACACGTTGGCAGTCTTGTCGGGGCTGCCCCAACGCAACCACAACAAATAGTGCCGCAACCACGGAGCCATGCACCCTGACCCACAGCGTCTTTTCCCAATCAGAACAGCAGGGACAGAAGGAAGTAAGACACACTACCCACAGTGCAGCAGAGCACCCGAAAAAAACACAGCCAATCAAAAACGGATGCAAAAAATCGGGAACGCAGAAAAATAAAAAGGGCGCATGCAGATTAAAAGCCAAAGCACAGAAATTATTTGAGTTCCACATTCTCGCAATGACGCACACACAAAAAAAAAACAAATCCACAAAAACAAACAAAAGTGTAAAAGATAAAGCCGCATGCACCAATTACGGAGGCAGAGGCAGTCGTCCCTGTCCTTCAGAGAAACAGCTACTGGCACGACCCCGCCTCCATTGGAGCACATTTCCTTTACTTTTTACTCATGATTAGAGTACGGTGGTTTCCCTTCGTCCCAATCGCATCAAAAAACGCGTGTATACATGTGGTGCTGGGAACTGTCTTTTTTCTTCATGTTACTTCGTTCACACACAGTTTTCACGGAAGTTAGACCCTCTAAGCAATAATAAAAAACACCTTTTCCCAGAATAACAAACAATGCAATAAAAGACCGGTCATTTTGCCCATCACCCGCAAGAAAAAAAGGACATGGGGAATGCAGTGAGTGTACTATAGTGTTATTGCTACGGTTTTGCACATCTTGAGTGCGGGGCCAATGTGCCAAGTAAATACTGTCGCCCTGCCGCAGTTTGATTGCGCCCAGCCGCCGCGACTGCTCAAAGAGGCACCACCACTACCGCCGCAGCGACCCCAACAAGAAGCACAAAGGGAATGAGGCCAGCAGTAGCAGCAGCCACACCGCCATCACTGTCGGCCTGCCGTACCAACGCATCGGGTATCGCCTGAAAATCGTCGCTGTTGACGGACGGAATCGGAGTGGCAGGCGCGGAGGCACTGGGAATCACCGCTGGGCAATCCGCCCGCGGGTCGCCCTCCGCTCGTGCAACGTCCTCGCCAGGTGATGGCGCAAAAAAAAGCTTCGGGGCCGGAGGCTCTGTTGGCTCCCTCGCTTCCACTGCCAGGTCTCCTCCCTCGCCGCTGAGTGTTGTCCTCACTTTCGGTCCGCACCCCCGGATCACCCCTCGGACCGGCATGAAGGCCACCACCAGCGACACCCGCAGCCAAAGCACCGGGAGGCTCCTTTTCAATGGAGGCACCAGACGCCACAGGAGACAACTGTGGACGAGTATCCTCCGGAGAAGGCGACCCTGAACCAACCGCCGACTCCTCTGCTTCCTACTCTTGCTCGTCACCCTGTCCACCCACCAACGCACTCGGAATGACAAGACTGCTGCCGTTCGCGGCAAAGGTGCACACCTCGCCGTACGTGGGGCACTTGATCCTCCCACCTTTCTGAAAATATTTCAACGTCACTGGGATGTCAGTGTCCTCAGGGCAAGGCTGAAACCCACTGCTGCCGAGGAGCCTCACCCTCACTGTGCCCTCCTCACACGACACCTGCGCGCACACTCCCTTGACGCTTTTATGGCCATCACCGTCCTTCGTCTCCAGTAATTCCGCGTCCAGGCACCACGAGCCACCGCCAGTCAGCGACCAAGGGAGATAATCCACATTTTCGTCCGAGCGCGTCCTGCACGTTGTCCCAGACGATATTTCGTGAAATTCCAAAGAAACAACAGGGCAAATGTCCTTATCCACCAGACTCCCCTTGTCTTCAACGATGCTTGCGGTGCACATCCCAACGTGACGGCGGTCGAAGGTGCAGCGAAGCGTCTCTGTGTCTTTAGCATCGCAGAACATGTGAGGATACTTGGCGGCAAGATTATCGGTTGTATAGCACTTCTTCTCCAGGAAGTCGCAGCCACTGCGGCTGCCCCAGCTCAACGGCTCCGCCATCCTCCAATTCACGCGGTAGTATCCCATATCCGCAAACACCGCCATCGTCAGAGCCGTGTGGTAGCCGGCACCAACTGTGGGGACCATCAGCTCGTCCCGCGCGTGGCGTCCCTTCCAGTGAGGGATTTCTTTTTCCCGAGGGCCATCTTCATCCTCCAGCACCATGCCCTCGAGAGACTTACAACCAAAGTGCGCTTTCGCTTTCTCCTGAACGTGCTTCCCTGCCACCATCCTGCGGTGCGTCCCACGTACACTTCTCTCTCGCTTCTTCACCAGACTCTTTTCTCTCATGCTCTCCTGGCTGAACCCAAGTGCATGCGCAATTTCGTGTGCGGCAACGCGAACGCTCCACGCCGTGTCAGTCATGTACTTCGGGTCAAAGTTCATGGCGCCAATGTAGGGGCAAAAGTCTGTCAATGTGTTACACGTGCCCGCCCACACAGCCCTGCTATCCGTGCCCGATGGCCTAGCAGCAGCGTAGATGATAAAATCTGCATTCGGCACACCGTCACTCTTGTGCCTGGTAGGAACCGTAAAATGGCTGCACGGTCCATTCATAGCCCTCGGTACAGTTATCGTCCCACCAGTGGGTTTCACAAGTAGTCGCTCAGCGTGCAGTTTGACGGCACCGGGAAGAATCTTTCCAGTGCACAATTGTTTCTTTGCCTCCGTCAGGAAATGCTCTGCTTTGCATGACACCCTTTGCCCCAATGCATTGTAGCACTCATCCTCTCCCTCCTCGCAGTACTTCCTCTTGTTCGTACCTCTCCAGATGCTCCGTGGACACCGCAATGCGGATCGGCTCCCAGCCACTGTCGTCATCCTGTGTGGCGACGGTGTACGCCTGCATGGCGCCTTGTCCCTTGCGCGGCACCTCACGCACCACCGCAGTCAACAGCGGGCCGTTCCTCCTCATCATCACGTCAAACCCAAAGCGGTATTGTGTGGCGGGTGCAGCAGCAACACACCCACTGGCGCATCACATCAGCAGCAACACCACGAGTGGCAAAAGCGGTGTGGCGCGGCGTGGCTGGCGCATGAGTTGAGTAAAATGCATTTCTTGTTTTCGTGTGAGTAGCAGCAGCAGTGCAGTAGTGCAGCCTGGATGCGGGAGGAGGGAAACAAAGGAAAAAGAAGAGTAAGAAAAACAAAATGGCTTTAGGCCAGTAATGCGTCAGAATGTGGCCCACGCAACGGAGTAACAGGAAACCACAGAGGCGGCCATACACACAGCATGCGCACCGACTCCACCAAATGGACAATCCGTGAATCCGTCGTCGAGAGAACGTCCATCACCGTCGCACAGAGTACTCACCAGGCGCAACACTTCCCACACGCGAGGTGTTTGGTCTGCTCTCCTTGTGGTGTCGCAATATTTGTGTGACCATCCACGAAAAAGCCACCACTGACACAGCACCAGTCCCAGATGCAGGAGCATCGCACAGCGCGCTCTCCCAGCAGATCATACCCTGTTGCATAACCGCACGGCAACCCCAATTGTGATGCGCAGCCCTGAAGCGGAGATGCAAAAAGTCATGCGGATGGACCTTCTTTCACTACTCTCCTTTCGGGAACTCGACAACAAGCGTGCCGGCGGTGCGATCATTATGACCGTTCCATCCGCACTGCCACTGGCCAAGGAAGTTACTGTGAGCTCAATGCGTAGAGGTCACCGTGTCCGCCGCTGCTCTCTCGCCGCCCCACGACCACGCCGGCACTTCCAACAGAGCGAACCGGAGCGTCGACAACGGCAGCCACAGGCGCCAATGCACCGAGTCCAATTGTGCCCGCTGCGACATTCCAAAGCGCGCTGAGAGCTCCTCTAGCAGTGCAGGGGCTGCCCACTTGTGTGCGACATGGCGTGTGTGTGCATGTGCTTGTGCTTGTGTGTTTGTCAGCGCCTATACATGCAGAGCAGCTGTGCGGCACAAGAGAGTGCAAATAAAGCAACGGCAGAGAGAAGCAAGCGAATATTACACATGCAAGTTCCTCATATCATCACACACACGCGGAATGGATGCACTCAACCACAAAACAAGTAAAACAATAAAAGAAAAACCGAAGCGTGGGACGACCAGCGCACACACACTCATTGCTCCCGTAAAGCAAAACACACACAGGGAGAGAGAGAGAGAGGTCGCCCACTCAATGCAATGGAAACAAAAACAGTTACGGTGCTCCGCCCATGCAGCCAGGTAGGACGGCAGCGGTGCGTGTGGTGCAAAAGAGAGCACCAACGGGCCTGCATGGGTGTGCATGCATATATACAATGGGCACATTATGTGTGTGCCTCGTGGGGTGAGGTGAGGGCGAGAGTCCATGGAAGGGGAAACACACACACAGAAAGAGTGAGTGAAGGACGAGTGTGTGTGCGGGCGGTGCATGGCTCTCTCTCCCTCACTCTCACGCGGCCACCACCGCAGCAGCAGCCGCACACGCAACAACAAGAAGAAGCAAAAGAGGGGAGGTGGTGTGGGAGACCGCGGTGCTGCTGTCACTGTCGCCAGGTGTCGCCGTGTCATTTCTCTTGGTGATGGTGACATTTTCTGTTGAGGTTTCTTCTCCTGCTTGAAGTTCCGTTGTTGTTGGTGATGGTTCTGCAGATGATGGTCGTGGAGTTGTTTGTGTTACTGGTGGGTAGCTGGTAGTAGAAGATAGGCTTGTAGTGGCTTTCGGTCCGACGTCTCCCTTCTCTTTCTCCTTTTCAACTGCATCCCCACTATCATCTAGACTTTCTGCGGCTTCTTCTGAAGTAAAGGAGCCCTGGTTTGCTTTGGATTCTGATCTCTCCTTTGGCTGCTCGTTGGGCAATGCGGTTCCAAGAGACATTGCTTCCGACTGTGGACCCTTTTCTGAAGGTTGCGTGCTCTGAACAAATGGGGCATCGATGGCAGAAGATGAAGAAATGCCAGCCGTAGAAAGAGGAGAAACTGAAGAGTCACCTCGAGAACTGCCGCCGGGTCGAGTTCCATCAGTTTCTGGTGATTGTGGCGCTCTTATTGCTTGGCCCGTCTGTCCTGCATGTTCTGCTGTTTTATCTCCACTGGTCAACATTTTGTCTGCTGGTGTTGGAGATGGGTTCCTTCCGTTTTCTTTTGGGCCATCGCTTTCCTGCGTTTCATCTGAATGATCTTTTGGTTGTTCTTCTCCATCACTTCCTGTTACCTTATCTTCCGCTTTCTTTGCCTCTACTTTTTCTTCTTTTCCTGCCGCCCCACCATTATCTGTTGGTGGTTGTTTGACAGAATTTTTTTGAGGGCTGTCCCTCATTAAGTCTTGCGCATCTAACGGTTCTTCTGAGGTGTTCAACACTCCACCAACTGGAATTCGTATATTCAGTTTTTCTTCATGGCCGCCCCTAGATGCAGACTGTGAACCCCTCGATGGCTCATCTTGTGGTTCAGTAACACCATCACCCTCCGCCTGCACCGCAGCACCGCACCACAGCACGCAGAGGGCACACACCAGCAGCACACGGCCAGTCATCATCATCGCCATCACTCCTGTCACTTGCGTGTAGTCTTCAGCACAAACTAACTCCCCGTCAACGCAGAGCAAAAGCAAAATGAGAGACAATTCACACAGCCACCGCACGCACATTCACAAATGGCAGCAGCAAAAGCTCACAGACCATGAGGCAGTTGGAATCAGTACAATTGCAGAACTCACACACCGCCCTGCAAACCAGAAGTTAAAAAAGCAGTAAAAAAAAAACAACAACAGATTTGAGAGTCCAGCGAAACTCCCAAAAGTAAAAAAAGAACGATCAGGCACGACTTTTATTTTATTTGCCAAGCAGCAAAATGTAAACGACCACTGGTTTGTGTATACGTAATGCATGGACTGAATAAAGCAAAAAAAGATCGTACTGTTCCGTGAGCCCACACAAAACGCTCTTCAGACTTCATTGCGGCATCCGGCCTGTCTCTCCAATCCTCCTCTTGTGCAGTCCGTGGGACGCACAGCCGCAGGGTCGGCACCGCGTGTGAGCAAAAAACAAAACAAAAAGGTGAAGCACGTCACTCATGACAGTGTGCAGCAAACGAGCATTGGCAGAAAAACACAGGGATGCCGATAATTCCAATAGGACAAAAGCAGCAAAAATAAATAAATAAAAGAAAATAAAAAACTTAAATTATTGACAAAACTCAGTGGTTAATGCTGGCAAGCTGCACAGTTATTGTTGCACGAAAAGCCGCAGTTCCACCCTCCCTCACACTTCAGCAGAGTGCCGCAGTGCCTCACAGCCCCAGAAGCAGAAGCAACAACACCCGAGACACACACCCATGCACGGTGATGTCACCAATTTCAGCCATGGCCAACAAGTTCGTGAAATGCCCGTGCTCACAAAAGCCGCTGTGCACAAGTGATGCTGCGTTGTGCTCCGATGGGATCTCTGGTTTCCCAGACGTTGTGCGCAAATAATCCTGTGCGGCATCACCGCCACCCGACACATTAGCACTCGTTCAGCATTTGCTAGGGCTGTGCTGGGCTCAGGCGTAACTGTTGTACCATCCAGAGGCATTAGATCACTGTTGCTGAGTGAATCGGGGTCGCTGTCCGTGCCCACGGCAGTGCGGGCATACGTGTCCTATTCATGCTCAACGTCTTGTTAGTCGCTGGCAACTGTGTTGGCGGTGGACGCCTTGTCGTCTCTCGCTCAACATGCATATGGATCCGCTGCGCTGCCACTTGACTTCCCGGATGGCCGAGCTCCCTGTGCGGCCTCACCGCGCAGCTGCCGGCAGCTTTGCATGCTCCTGCCGAGCGGAGTGTCCTGTCACTCAGCATGGCCACAGACGCTTCCCAGTTCCCCGTCTGGCAGCATCCCAATCGCCCACACGAGTTCCTGCCGCCAAAGACTCCCTCTCGGTGATGGAGTCGCTCCGCCTTGGCCCGCTGGCGGTGCGCGACGACGTCACCGAGGAGATTTGCACCGTACCGCTTTCACTGGTGGATTGAGGTCGCACTGTTGGCTCCGTATTTTCCCATGACACTGCGGAATCCCACGCAACGTGACAGCGGACGCTGATGCCGTCATGGCACGATCCCTCCCGCAGGACTGCGTCAATGCCTGGCAGGTGGGCTTCCTCGTTGCAGTCAGGCGACTGTACTGGAAGGATGCCCAGGAGGAAAAGGAAGGCGCGCACACCGCATGACAGGCGTTTATCGGTGTGGCGAGGCCTCTATTCCTGGTGTTGAACCGGACATCGTTCCTTGAGTGGCGGCACCGCGCACAGGTGCGATGCGACTCCTGCCCACTCCTCGGCATACCGGCACGCGCCCTGCAGATCACAAGGAACCCTGTGTCGGTGGCGCCGTCCTTTCTTCACCGAGGAGATCGGCCCGCCACTGCCTCCGCCGGAACCTCCAGAAGTGAACGCCGCAAATTTTTGCTGACCAGCGAGCGGCGGATTGACGTTCTCCCGCCCAACCTGCCGCAGAATGCGCTCGTCCACAATATGACGGCAGATGCCGACGTGCTCGGCCTGGCCTTCCGATAGTTTGAGTGGCCTCACATGCGGATGCCGCGATTGTTTCACCGTCTTCCTAACAGGCGCCTCGCGCGCAGGTCGCCACCGAAGGAACCAAGCACGCCAGCAGACAGGACACGCAGGAAGCACAAACGCGGGAACTCGAGACGGGCCAGGCCCTTCCGACACCGCCCTATTACAGACGCCAAGTGCTGCTTATCCCCCACGTACCACGGTAGACTCCGCTTCATCCACTGTGGTAATGCCCCGTCGTTGAGAATATGGACTGCGACTTCTTTGGACTCCCCAGCGTGCACGACGGCCGTTTTCGACGGAATACTTGCCACTTTTGTACGGACGGCTCTTGCGCTACTCAGTCGTTATTGTAAAAGCATACATCAAACAAAGATGAGTAAACATAATGTAAGTTGTTTACATGATGAATATTGGCTGCACTTCCCGTGGACCAACAATTCACGTGGTGTGCGGGGATCTCTCCTTTTTTTTCATTGTTACTTTGCTTTTGTGTTGCTGTGTGCGCTGCACCTCCTCTTGTGTGTGTGTGCGTACCCTCCGTGAGGGGTGCAGACACGACGGACCGCTCTCGCCGTATGTGCATGCGGTGGAGCCTTGTGTGCCGCTCCTGTTTGCTTCTCCCTCCTCCGTCTGTGTGTTGGTGCTGCGGCAGGGCTGTGTGTGTGTGTGTGTGCCTGTTGCCGTGGATTGGAGTGTGTGTCGTGCGTGGTGTGCGGCGTACGGTGCATGCCTGGCTGCTGCCCTCTCCTCATGTGGTGTGCCCTCTGTGTGTGTGTCTGCCGCACCTCTCGTCTCCCCTGTTGATCTCCATGTCCCTCACTGTGCAGATCAGCTCCACACCACTGAACGACCACACTCACGATGATGACGTGCCGTCTGCTGTGCGCCCTGTTGGTGCTCGCCCTGTGCTGCTGCCCGTCAGTGGGCGCGACAGATGCTAATGAAGATGAAGAAGGTTCCGATCCAACGACGTCTTCGCCAGGGAAACAAGCTCAGGAAACGGAATCGCCAAGTACAACTCCTTCTCCACCAGAGAATAACGAAGAATGGGGAGGGACGGGTCAGTCACAGGAAACGGATACAATAACCGGAAAACCACAGTCACAAAATACTTCCAGTAATACACAGGGTCAAGATGGTGGTAAGTCTAATGAACGGACAGAACATACGAATACCGTTACGGCAAATGAACAAAAGAAGGCCGCCGCACCAACAACGACCACCACGAGTACAACACAGGCACCAACCACTACGACCACGACGACCACCCACGCGCCGTCACGTCTGCGCGAAATGGACGGCAGCCTCAGCAGCTCTGCGTGGGTGTGTGCCCCGCTGCTGCTCGCCGTATCCGCGCTGGCGTACACCACTGTGGGCTGAAGAGGTGTATGCGGGCTGTGCGTGCCAGCACTCAACCACGGGAATTTGTGTGCGTCCACTGTGGTCCGATGTAAATAAATACGAGAAAAAAATGATTGTGTTTTGCTTCATTTGCTTCTGTTGCCCTGCTGTGTGCTCCGTGTTGTTTTCCACATTTATCACGTTGAACGCATCCCAGACACACTCGTATGCATGGCACGCATACAACTGTTTGCCTGGAATCACATTTGAGGATGGGTTCGTGCGCGCTGGAGCCATACTGTGCAGCCCCTTGTTTTTGTGTGTTTTTACATTTTTTACTTTATTGCTGTTTGTTTACCTTCGTTTTTTTTTTTTTTAATTGCTTCGTGTGTTTTTTCTGTTTACTTGCTGCGGGGCGTTGTGTGTGTTTTTGCCCTTTCACTGATTTCAACTGCCTCATGGTGTGTGCTTTGCTGCTTCTGGGCTGCTGCCATTTGTGACTGTGCGGTGGCTGTGTGACTTGTCTCTCCTTTTGCTTTTGCTCTGCGTTGACGGGGAGTTAGTTTGTGCTGAAGACTACACGCAAGTGACGGAAGTGATGGCGATGATGATGACTGGCCGTGTGCTGCTGGTGTGTGCCCTCTGCGTGCTGTGGTGCAGTAGTGCGGTGCAGGCAGCCGATGGTCTTATTAGTGACGGAAGTCTTGAGGGTGAGAATATGGTTTTAACTTGGTATCCTGTGAACAATAAGACATGCGAGGAAAGAAGTACGAATGGAGGAAAGTTGGATGAGTCAGCGTTTAAGAGCTGTATGCATGAATTGATGAATGAGGTTTGTGAAGCTTATTACAGTATGAAGTCGAGTGAATCTCATGTTACTGAAGCTGACAGTATTTGTGGGAAATACACTGGCGATCCAAGTGAGGAGGACGTTCAAACCTCAACACCGCAAGAACAACCGTCGCCTGAAGTGGAAACACCGGTGGCATCCCAAACTCCAGAAACCTCAAAGGTCGAAGCAGCAGAAATGGGATCACCACCGGGGGTGCCAGCGGGTGATTCACCAGCAAATCCAACAGAAGGGCCGCAATCAACCTCAGATGCCACCGATACTGCAAACAATGAGGCCGAAAAAAGCAGTACAGAGGTGATGCCGAAGAATGCACCGGAATCCAACGCCACAAGGAAAGAAGAAGAAAAACGAAATGAAAAGAACCACAGTAACACGAAGGAAACACCAGTCGACGCCGAGGCAAAGAAAAATAACACGAAGACTACCGACAGTGACGGCAGCACCGCAGTCTCCCACACCACCTCCCCTCTTTTGCCTCTTCTTGTTGCGTGTGCGGCTGCGGCTGCGGTGGTGGCCGCGTGAGAGTGAGGGAGAGAGAGCCGTGCACCGCTCGCACACACACTCGTCCTTCTCTCACTCTCTGTGTGTCCCCTTGCATGGACTCTCGCCCTCACCTCATCCCACGAAGCACACACATAATGTGCCCATTGTATATATGCATGCACACCCATGCAGTCCCGTTGGTGCTCTCTTTTGCACGACACGCACCGCTGCCGTCCTGCCTGGCTGCATGGGCGGAGCACCGTAACTGTTTTTGTTTTGTTTCCATTGCATTGAGTGGGCGACCTCTCTCTCTCTCTCTCTCCCTGTGTGTGTGTTTTGCTTTACGGGAGCAATGAGAGTGTGTGCGCTGGTCGTCCCACGCTTCGACTTCTTGTTTCTTTTATTGTTTTACTTGTGTTGCGGTTGAGTGCACCCATTACCTTTTTTTTTGTGGATTATTGGGTTGCTTTGACTGCGGACACTTTAATTTTTATCTTATTTTATTTATTTTGTTTTTGTTGAGGAAGTGCCAGCCTCTTGTATTCTTGTAAAGCCATTAAGATTGTCTTTGGCTTATGGTGTGTATCCGTTGATCCACGTCACGCTGCGGCCTGCATCGCTACTGGTGCCGCTATTGTGATGATTTGTGTGATGTGGTTTGTCGGCGGATGGCTTGCTTTCACCCCGAAGTATTCATTATTTATTGACGATGTGGTGCGCTCCCACAGCGAGGTTCTCGTTTACGGTGGGGAGAATGCATCTCAGGGTGCAGGACGCATTGCAGGTGTGCAGCGGCGTCTGGAAGGACCCATGGGTGCCCGTCCGCATCAAGACGTCAACAACAGACCCGTGTGACATCAGGGGGCACTGCGGTTTCTCCTGGTCTCACGCAATGAATTCATTGAATGACAATCGCCACTGTGAGGATGGTGTTCTATCCTCTGCGCACGGTAATATCCTTGTTGAGGAGACTGTCCCTGCTGCTGTGTAAACCCGCATGAGGATCGTCTGCTTGTCCAGCCACTGGAGGGTGCGTTTATTGTGCCCCCATTTGCCACGGGCAGCGTTTGCAGTCGGTTCACGGTGACTGCTGGGCATCGTTCCGCTGTTTTTGCCGATTCTGTCATGGTGCAGTGTGTGGCTGCAGCGTTGGGTGTTGCGTGATCACTGCGGTGCGCCACGCTGGAGGATGGCCGTCCAGTCGCTGGCGCCATGAACTTTGCTCGGCCTTTTTATTTCACTGACGCATCGCCGCGCACCTGTTGGCCCATGCTGTCGGGTTCAACGGCCCGCACTTGGCAGGCCGCAGCATGGTGAGGAATGCTGCTGGTGTGCGTGGCAGAGCGCTGTTGGTGGTGGTGCGCTCGGCGAATGCCGCGATGGCAGCGAGTGAGCACCAAGACTGCGACGAAATTGATGGCGTGGAGCTGCAGGATGACGATGGGGACGGGAGGACGCTGGAGTCGCACTGGTCGCGGCGCCACGCGAGGGATGAGTGGATGGCACCGATTGGGTGCGCCGGCGACTGCAGAGGAAGTGCTCCGCACTAAACATGAGTGAATATCGCTACATGCTCTGCGACGTGGGTGTCCCTGTCAAACGCTGCGCGTCGGACCGGTATTCCAGTGGTTGGTGTTTGGGAGTATCCATGAGATCTCAGCAAAACGCCCGATGGGCCGTTGCCCCATCATTGATCCCGCACTGGATGTGAGGGATATTGAGGGTGCTATTTGGAGGGGAGAATATTTGTCTGCGATGCCTGGGGATGAGCCCTCTTCGTGGTGTCTGGACACGCTTCTCACCAACACGACGGATTCGAGGGACACGGAGGAGACAAATAAATCAGTGCTGCAATGCATGCGGCATTGAGGTGCATCGGCATGCAGGTGCATCTGGAATTGACTGAAAAGGGTAACGTCCGTTGTGTCCCATGCACGGACGGGGCGACGGTTGCGTGGGCCACTCCACCCTACGATGAGGGACCGTTATTTGCCGTGACCACGCGCAGGTGTGCACGATATCCGCCAACAGCGGTAGCCTACTTCCAGTGGTTCCGTGGGACGGTGAGGAGAGAGCATGTGGAGCAGGACGGTTTCACCGGCATCTACTGAACAAGGATTGCCAGGGGCATCCGTCCCCGTTGCGGAGAGCATTGAGACCGACCGCGGCACACCACCGAAGGATGTAGACACAGCTGCTCTCCAGAAGCATCCGTCGCCAGAGGAGAAGTGGATCCGGCCAGGATGCCCCGACAGACCGCAAGAATCTTCTCTCGGTGGCAGGAACCGAAGCAGCGAGACGGACGGCAGGCAGGACACGTCTCCGACTCCCGGTGATGACACTGCTGCTTCTGCTTGCCTCTGCTGCTGCCGCCGTGCCAACACTCTATGGATTTGCGGTGTGGACGGCGTTGCGCTGCGAGGCGACTGCGCTTCCTCCTGCTTGGCCTGCACCCAGCACTGAATGTCCAATAGAAAAACATCCATTTCAATGGGTGCCGTTCTCCATATGCATGTGCTGCATGGGCTCCGTTTAACTTTGTGTTTGAAATTGGTGGTATTTCCGTTGCACACAGCTCTTCTTGTGTTGGTTGCCGATTTGGGGGCACCAGATGGTAGTATGGCATTGCTTGTGTGTTTGTTAGATTTTCTGAGACGCACATACACAAAAACGGTGCAAGTGGAATGTGCGCACACAAGACACACACACATATCCAAGCACATTGTCTGTGTGAATTCTACTTGACATATTATGCGGAGCGGGTTGGTGCGAGCAAGGCTGAAGGAAGCGGGCAGCTGCGTGAGCCCAGCAATGGCGTTTGTGGTTGTGTGCGGGATTATATATTCCATCAGATGCTTAACGCCGTTCATGGATCGTTTAAAGTTTTCTGCGTTGCCCATGCTGCGTCTGTGCTGAGCTGCTCACTGCGTCTCCATGATCTCATGGAGCACGACATGACGCTACTCGAGGACCCCATGACACCGCGGCAGCCGATTATGAGTAGCCCTGCACCCTACTTTTTTCCGTGGAGGATGCGTCTGTGAGCCGCGTGGTTGAGGATTGGATGGCAAAGGTTCCTTACAGGGATGTACACGTCTTTGCGTTGGGGAGCACCCCGCATCGCAGTCCTCAGCAACTCCCGCGGGCTCGGATAGCGCCGAGGGCGATGCGTTCCAAGGAAATGGTGTTAGACTTTGCTGCCCCTGAGGTGCTGGTGCTCCACCTCAGCATGCAGAATGGGTTCACTCAGCTGCTGTCGCCGCTGTCGTTTGCGAATTGAGAGTCCGTTGTGGACGTTGCGGCGTCACGTCTTGTGGCGGCTTTTCACGCCATGAACAACGGTGTGCCTGGCATTTGCCGAAAAAACAGTGGCAGCATCTGCCATGGGCTTGCCGGGACCTTCTTTGAGGGCTTGCCAGGCAATACCACGACGAGCCGGATTCCACTTAGGGGCGCCGACAGCTGCGGCAACCCGGTGCGGATCATCGTTGATTGGGGGTGTGTCACGGTGACGCCGCTGATGCACCAACGCACATGTCAGTGTCTGCTTGATGACCTGATGCCGTTGGGGAAGAAAGTGTATGAGCGGACCTGTAGGAATCGTCTGGGTGTGGACTCGAAGCGGCAGTACTTGATGGATGAGGAAGATGAATACTGGTGCTCCTACCGTCATTGTTTTCTTGCGCAGTGCGTGGAGGAGCCTTTGGTGGCGCTGAAAAAACCCCACGCGTATCACCCGGGATTGGCGCAGGGCGTGGAGCCGAAGGCCAATCTTGCGGAGTTGGGCAGTGCGGTGCGGGCTCCGCCGGAGTTTTGGGAGAGGCAAGCCAGACTGTCGCTGCACATCGATTTTTGCGCGAGGCTTTTGGTACAGTACCGGGAGAAGCGACTGGCGGAGGTGTGGGAGGTGGAACAAGACATTGCCGTTGGGCACAAACCCCTCAGGAAAAACCTGGATGGCGTGCAGCACCTGGCGGGGGATGCCGCGATGCCCCGGCCAGTGCGTCTGCGTCTTCTCCTCTTGCTTGTGGCTGCGAGCAACACCGACGAGTTGACGGAGGCCAGGAAGCAGCAGCTGATCCGAGACGGTGGACTGACGCCCGACGCCCATTTGTTTGCGAACCTTGAGCATATGACGAGGAGGGCCGGGAGCGTGCAACGATACAGCACGGCGTCGGCGCAGAGCGAACGGAGCACGAGTGCCTCTGCGAGCAACGCCGCGACGGACGAGGATCCGTTTCTGAAGCATGCCTGTATGATTATGGAGACGGGCAGGAATAGGACGCTGCGGGTTGGGCTGTCGTTGGCATCGGTGCAGCGCGATCATGCGATAGGGCCAAATGGCGCGAGTGGTGGCCAAAACACTGGAGAAGCAGGGAATAACGCCGGGCCATTTCAAGGGTGTGGTGTCAAATGGGAGAATCATCCTGATCTGGGTGGCGGTGGTGGGACGATTGCCCTCACAACTCCTCAGCGCATAGTGCTGCCTGTTTTGGGTGGTGTGGCCTGCAGCGAGAGGCGCTCGGTCCATGAGATATCCAAAAGACATGGCCGTGAGGTGGTCATTGGGAAACCTCGCTGCCGCGTCCTGAGGTGTGTTTGTGCAGGGAATTGGCATCCTACGGCAGTAGGACTTAGGGGCGAGACACGCACAGGAATGCATCGAGGGCCAAAGAGTGGGAAATATACAAACACACACGATTGCGGGTGTCCATGGGGATTGTGTGCGCTTGTGTCTGCATTCCGTTCCTCTCCATGAAGCGTTTTATACGATGCGCGTGTGTGTGTTTCAACGGCTGCGCTGCTTGCCTTTTGCTTTTGTATTCTTGGGTGTGCGGTTGCAAGTCATTTCTCTGCCACGAAGAATGCGGATAAAAAAGGAAGGACATTTGTGGAGCATGCACCCACGGCTTCAGTGTTCATCCACTGGTGCTGACCTTTCTTGCCGGGGCATTTGTGCACGCTTTTCCCTCCATTGTCTATTTTTTTTTTTCGGCAGAGGAGGCAACGGGTGGGCATTCGTGAGTGCTGCGGCGGGCTGTTGTTGCCCTCGCCAGGACGCGCTTAACGGCGTCAGCTCCATGACTTTGTGCACAAAAGGAATGGGAATTTCTCCGGATCCTCACCGCAGACGCATGCCGTGGATAGTCGAAAAGGAGTGTGTGCCCGGTGTTGTTCATAGCTCCAAGGAAAAGATGGTGTTGGATGGTGCACGACGAGTGAATGTGGATTGTGTTAACCGTGCATCGCAGGTGTATTCGCTGGAGGCATTGTGGGCGACTGTGAACAAATGCAAGTACAATAAATGCAGAGGAATGAACATTTTAATTGGCTTCTCAGGCGGAATCCAATGTACTCAGGCAATGGGTTTACCGCGAGGATTGGCCGGAGGGGACGCACGATGAGGACGCCACTCGCACCGCCATTCATTTCCTTTGCTCACGGCAGTAACGCAGCCCGCGCCAATACGCCTTGCGGATTTTCCGGGGTGGCATGCACTGTTCCGCTTGGCGTCATTGTTCCCCATTCCCGAGCGCCGGTGCAGACGTCCCTGTCGATGCAAGTTCCTGTCGCTTGCGGGCACACACCCATTGATTGATGCGGCCGACACCCCAGCCCATTGCTGGTGCTTCTGGCATGACCGCTGCACCGCCCCTAGCAGCTGGTGCAGCGGGACTGGGGACGAGAACACGGCGGAACAAGCTCAGTCAGATGGTGCTGGCAGCCCTGTCAGCGTCTCGCCTACCCCAGCGGCCCACCCACACCACCGGCGAGCACAGAAATCGACGGGACAGGGGAGGCATTGACGGAGTGTCAGGACACCAGTTGTCTTTCCACATCACTCCTAGTCAAGCAACCGGAAGAATTAACAACAACATCATTCACCAAGAATGAGAAAGGAACAACGACCACCGCCGACAGCGACAGCAGCACTGCGGTCTTCTACACCATTTCCCCTCTTTTGCGTCTTATTCTTGTTTTTGCGTGTGCGGCTGCTGCTGCGATGGCGTCCGGACCTGCATGAAGTGCTGTGCGCTGAATATGAACGGAGGCCAAAGAAAAATGAATTGTTTTTGTGATGAATATTGGCTGCACTTCCCGTGGACCAACAATCCGCGTGGTGTGCGGGGATCTCTTTCCTTTTTCATTGTTACTTTGCTGTTGTGTTGCTGTGTGCGCTGCACCTCCTCTTGTGTGTGTGCGTACCCTCCGTGAGGGGTGCCGACACGAAGGACCGCTCTCGCCGTATGTGCATGCGGTGGAGCCTTGTGTGCCGCTCCTGTTTGCTTCTCCCTCCTCCATCTGTGTGTTGGTGCTGCGGCAGGGCTGTGTGTGTGTGTGTGCCTGTTGCCGTGGATTGGAGTGTGTGTCGTGCGTGGTGTGCGGCGTACGGTGCATGCATGGCTGCTGCCCTCTCCTCATGTGGTGTGCCCTCTGTGTGTGTCTGCCGCACCTCTCGTCTCCCCTGTTGCTCTCCATGTCCCTCACTGTGCAGATCAGCTCCACACCACTGAACGACCACACTCACGATGATGACGACGTGCCGTCTGCTGTGCGCCCTGTTGGTGCTCGCCCTGTGCTGCTGCCCGTCCGTGTGCGAGGCAGATACTGATCTGGATCCGAACACTGGCGCTGGTGGAAAGGCCATCAAACCAACCTCCCCTGATTCACAGCCACCAACCGCTATGCCTGAGGTTGTTGGAGTTTCAGACAGTGAGCCGGCTCCGAAAGCTGAAGATCTCTCCAACGGTACCACGACGATCACTGCAGTAGAAGTACCAACAAGGGCGACTGAAGGTTCTCACGAGACGATCTCGACGACTGACGCCCCTGCAAAGGAGAATAAGACGACCACGACTACACAGGCACCAACTACGACAACCACGACGACCACCACAACACAGGCACCAAGTACTACGACTACAGAGGTGCCAACCACGACGACCACACGCGCACCGTCACGTCTTCATGAAATCGACGGCAGCCTCAGCAGCTCTGCGTGGGTGTGTGCCCCGCTGGTGCTCGCCGCATCCGCGCTGGCGTACACCACTGTGGGCTGAAGAGGTGTATGCGGGCTGTGCGTGCCAGCACTTAGTCACGGGGATTTGTGCGCGTCTACTGTGGTCTGATGTAACTAAATAAGAGAAAATAATGATTGTGTGTTTTGCTTCATTTGCTTCTGCTGCTCTGCTGTGTGCTCCGTGTTGCTGCTCCCTGTATCCGTCACGTTGAACGCATCCCAGACACACTTATACGCACGACACGCATACAACTGTTTGCGTGGACGCATTTTTTGGGTGCTGGTGCATGCGCACTGGAGTCATTCGGTGCAGCTCCTTTTATTAAAAATTTTTGTTTCTTTTTTACGTGTGTTTTTAATTGTTTTGTTTTTCTTTTTTTCTTGCTGATTAATTATTGCAAGACTGTGTTTGTGTGCCTATTTTGCCCTTTCACTGATTCCAACTGCATCATGGTGTGCGTGTTGCTGGGGTGCTGCCATTTGTTACTGTACGTGGTTGTGTGACTTGTCTCTCTTTTTGCTTTGTTACTCTGCGTTGACGGGGAGTTAGTTTGTGCTGAAGGCTACACGCAAGTGACAGGAGTGATGGCGATGATGATGACTGGCCGTGTGCTGCTGGTGTGTGCCCTCTGCGTGCTGTGGTGCGGTGCCGGCGGTAGTTGTAACGAGGAGAAGGCAGATGAATTCTGTAATAACACGTACTTTGGGGTTTTGACTTTACTTGCGAATAAGTCTGATGAAGAGCTTAAGGAGAAATACTGCAAAAACGAGGATGATAAAGCAAAGTGTGTGAATACGTTGAAGAACAATATTGCAGATGCGCTGGAGAATGAAAAGAAGAACAAAGACAACGGAGCTGACAGAGAGCCTAACGTTGCACATGGTGCAGGAGTGTCAGTTGGCAGCTCAAAAACGAAATCTTCAACGGCTGCTGGCGCGGATAATGCTGGAATGTCTTCTCCACTTCCTCTTTCCTTAAAGGTGGAAGGTGATGTCGATGACAAAGTCCACAGCCCAGCAGGTGGTGCTGGCCCCCAGCCGCATTTCGATGACGGCCGCAGAGAAACAGAGCGAAGTCATCACTCAGAGGCGGAGGGATCGAATCAACACGGCGTGGGCGTGCAAGGCAAAAAGATCCACAACAAAGACGAAGAAAAACCACAAGCAGGACTGAAGTCGACCGAAGCACGGGAGGGCACGGACGGAGCACCAGCACCATCACAGGATCCACCAAATACGGCTGAATCACACGAGGATAAATCCCGGAGAGTGGCTGCACCCGACACAACTCCCGCACTGAATACATCACCAGGCAGCAACCGGGAGCAAACATCCCAGTCTCCATCTCCCAGTGGCAGTGAAACCTCCGGCAGCTCGGATAACGAGGTCCCAGAAAAAAACTCCATCAATACACAAATGTCTGGTGCCCCACTGAAAGATGAAGAACAGCACCGTGAGAGTACAGCTGGTAATAAAGACTCAACAACAGTTGAATCTGCCGCTGTGCAAAGTAACACAACGACACCTGGCGACAATGACAGCAGCACCGCGGTCACCCACACCACCTCCCCTCCTTTGCTTCTTCTTCTTGTTGCGTGTGCGGCTGCTGCTGCGGTGGTGGCCGCGTGAGAGTGAGGGAGAGAGAGCCGTGCACCGCCCGCACACACACTCGTCCTTCTCCCTCTCTGTGTGTGTCCCCTTGCATGGACTCTCGTCCTCACCTCATCCCACGAAGCACACACATAATGTGCCCATTGTATATATGCATGCACACCCATGCAGGCCCGTTGGTGCTCTCTTTTGCACGACACGCACCGCCTCCGTCCTGCCTGGCTGCATGGGCGGAGCGCTGTAACTGTTTTGTACTGTTTTTTGGTAAATGTTTTAGTTTAATTTCTATTTGCTGCAAAATCCTTTTATTTTCATTTTTAATATTTTATTGTTTTTTTTTGCTTTTACTTTGGGCGTTTTTTTCTCTAATCTCTCATCCCTTTGTTTTTTTTTTTTGCTTTCAGGGGCAATCACTATGGACGTTTTTTTCTTTTCTACTCTTCCCTCTTTTAATTGTTTCTTCTGCACTCTTCCTGCGAGGGGTGCCGTGTGTTTCCCGCCCAACTGCTCCACTCGCACACCCACCGACACGCTCATGACGACGGCCCTGTGCGACTCGCCTGCTGCACGCATGAGGAGGGGCCGCGACGAACGGCGCGCTGAGGGAGCCGTGACGTGTGGGCGTGCGACGAGGGCCTGTGGGGCGGAGCACACATTTCTTTCCCTCTTGTTTTGTTTTTCTTGCGGTCAGGGCGGGCAGACACCCGCAGCGCCACACACACACAGCCACACCCTGCCGCCGTGTTTTTTTGTTTTCTTTTTTTGTGGATGGGTGTGTGCTGCCACCGTGCGTGATTGTTGAGGTTGTGGCCGTACCGCATGTACCGCTGCCATCCAGCTGTGCCTCCTGCCATGTTGATGTGCCTCCCTGTGCTCCTCCTTTTTGCAGCTTCTCCAACAGAGACCCACACACATATGAGTATTTGCACAGTGCTCTGCAAGAATGTATTTGCAATTCCGGTTGCGGGCGTTGCTCGGTGTGTGATGATGCGTGACGGACGGTGCCACGATGGCCTCCTCTGACGATGACAGTCGCTGTGCTCTCGGCACACACCCACACACTTCCTTGTCTCTCTGTGGGAGTGATTGCGGCAGGGCATTGCTGCGAGCGTGATGGGGACCACGACGGCGTCACCCCTCGAGAAGGTCCCACGCTCTGTCGGTTGTGGAGCGGCGAGGCGGCTTTCTTGCAGTCCGACTGACAGAACCGCACAGTTGTTTCATTGCGGTCACTCCGTCGGCATCACCCGCTGCGGTGGTGTCCGCAAGAGCCGCAGCCCCGATGAGGATGGCCTCGTAGTTACCTGGCAGCTCAGAACTTCAGGCCATTCGCCCTTCAGGATTGCTCCTGCAGCACGACTGGCGCAGCAGCGGCCAGGCATCGTACTTCTCCAGGAGTGCAGGCACGAGAGTGCCCCAGCGACGAGGCTCATTGGCTGCACTGACCTTCCACCAGAAGTGCAGTGGGCGTGCCGGTGGCGTGGCCTTCTTGGTGCGCCACACCTTGCCGTGCGAGCACCTGTTGCTCGTGGCACCAACTGCGTGGAGACCACCGCCCTCCGCGTGCGCCTACAGGCCTGCTCCAGCATGTACGTGGTGAACCTCTGCAGCCTTCCCACGGCAATTGCTCACGCTGCTCACTTTGCGAGCACCATTCGTCGCCTTGTTCCTGCAGCGGTTATTGCGGGCTACCTGAATTCACATCATGAGCTGCGGGACGGTCGTTCACCATCCACGACGGCAGGAGAGGACCTCGCCGCCACCCCAAGCGGCATGGACTCTGAGCTGTCCGACGACCCGGCACAGGCAACGTGGATCAGCGGCCGCCACGTCTCGTTTCCCGACGTGACTGCGCAACGCGTGCTGCGTGTCTTCCACTGGACGTCCACCAGTTTACATGGACTTGGACCACCCTCTGGTATTGTAGACTGCAGGGACGGAGGACGGCATCCCGCGACAGGCAGGCATGCTGCCACGACGGAAACATGTTGCTTTTGTGCTGCGTGAAGCTGACTGTGACGCTTCCACCTCGGCGTGTGCAACGTCTCTGGCCACTGTAATCACATGGTTGGAGATGCACCGAGGCACCGTACGAGCGGCAGCCGTGACAGTCCCACATGAACCTGTACGGACGGAATGTAGCAGGCCGAGTGTGTTGCAGCGGCAGCCTGCCCCGAGCTGAAGTGCTCCGCAAACGGGAGGACCGCAATCATGCCCTCCGCCGTGGCTTCTCCATGCTGTCAGAGGTCCGTGCGAAAAAGCTTGGTGCCCTCTCGAGCCAAGGCCTGTGATACCCCGAGGCATGGCGGCACCACGTCCCCGCCCTCTGGGATCGGCTGTGCTGCGGTGCTGTTGGGACCGCGTCTGTGCTCTGCCTCCGACGGAACATCTTCCCGACGTGAGCACCGCCACTCCTTGCCGACCAACAAGCGGCTGATGGACGTCCTCCTGCCCACTCCTCGGCAGACCGGCACGCGCCCTGCAGATTACAAGCAACCCTTTATGTCGGTGGTGCCGTCCCTTCCTCACACTGAAGAGGCAGGACCACCCCGACCTCCTCCGGAACCTCCACCTGGCGTGTCCACGGCACCTCCTCGTAGAATGACGAGCAGCGGATCAACGTCGTCCTGCCCAAGCTGCAGCAGCGTCTTCTCGTCCGTCCACAATATGAAGGCACACGCCCGACGCACTAACCCTGGCACCCCAATCGTTGCAGAAGGCCTCACATGTGGATTCTGCGACAGCTCCACGGTCTCCCCAACAAGTGCCTCACGCGCAGGTCACTACCGAAAATGTCAAGCGTATCAACGAGCAAAAAACGGACAGCGCACCTCTGCAAGCTCCAATGACAGCCGTAGCCCTTCAGCCACTCCTCTGCTGCAACCCCACCAGCCGCTGAGCCCCCGACAATCCACGGGAGGCCCTGCCGCACATGTTGTGGGAATGCCGCCGTCCTCGACAACTCAGCATCCGACTATTTGGGAACACACCCTCTCGCACGACAGCACCTTTCAAAAAGGAAAAACTGGCCACATCGCTACGGACAGCCCGCAGGCCATTAACGAACAGTGGCTGCAAAGTATAACAAAACAAACATTTCCCTTTTCTCAGCATAGAAAAACGTCATCTTCACACTCGCAATTGCCACCAATGAATTCATTGCTTAATACCGCTCTGAGCTGCAATACTTCCCGGTACCATCCAGGTCCCTTGTCGACACATTGATGCGGATGGGCGCCCATCCATTCCTCCCAATGACGGTGCATGTCTGCGACGCACCCTCAGATCCAAAAGGCACGTCCCTCACCACAACCGGGATCGACTTCGCCCTGTCCGCACGCATCGCTTTGTCAGAGGAGCAGGAGTACGTCAGGCTGGCAGCAAAGCACCCGCCAGCACAACACATCACAATCATCATCACAACCAGAAGCACCAGCAGCACTGCAGACCGTGGGGTAACGTGGATCAACTGACGCATGCTGTACGTGAAAGAAAATACTTAATGGCTTGAAAAGAATAGGAAACACTGAAAATATCTGAAAAAAAATATACAAAAAGAGAATTTAGGCGTCCGTAGTCAACTCAGAGCACCAATTCAAAAAAAAAAAGTAATGGGTACACTCAACCACAAGTAAAACAACAAAACTATAGGAGAAAAGCCGAAGCGTGGGACGATCAGCGCACACACTCTCATTGCTCCCGTAAAGCAAAACACACACACAGGGAGAGAGAGAGAGGTCGCCCACTCAATGCAATGAAAACAAAAAAACAGTTACGGTGCTCCGCCCATGCAGCCAGGCAGGACGGCAGCGGTGCGTGTCGTGCAAAAGAGAGCACCAACGGGCATGCATGGGTGTGCATGCATATATACAATGGGCACATTATGTGTGTGCTTCGTGGGGTGAGGTGAGGGCGAGAGTCCATGCAAGGGGACACACAGAGAGTGAGAAGGACGAGTGTGTGTGCGGGCGGTGCACGGCTCTCCCTCCCTCACTCTCACGCGGCCACCACCGCAGCAGCAGCCGCACACGCAACAACAAGAAGAAGCAAAAGAGGGGAGGTGGTGTGGGAGAACGCGGTGCTGCCGTCACTTTCGCCAGTTGTCGCCGTTGTGGTTTTCATTACGGTGGATTCGACTGGTGTTTCCTTCGGATTGGCTTCTTTATTTTCATTTTGTTTTTCTTCTTGTGTCACTGCACCATCAGCTGCTGGATCTTTGTCGCCAGTTGTTTGAGTGCTTTGAGGTTTTGTTTTATTCGATGCTTCCTCCACACGAGAAGATAAAATTGGCTCTTCCTGACCGCCTTCTGAAATCCTCTTTGTAGTGCTGGTATCATCTTTTTCTTCTTCCTCTCCCTCCTCCTCCTTGCCATCATCTACTTCTAATTCCACTTCCTCTCCCTCTTCATCTTCCCCTTCATCTTCCCCTTCATCTTCTTCATCTGCATCCTGATTCGCCTCCCCATTTCCCCCGTTTTCCGTTTTTTTTATTTTTTTTCTATCGTTTCTTCTGCCGTTTCTGATGCCTTTGCTGCGGGTAGTAGTGCCGATTCCGCTTTCGTTTCCGATACAGGCACCGATGCTGCTGGTTGTGACGCTGCCTGTTGACCGATTGGGCCACCTCCTCCAACGCCATCAGTTGTGTTGTTTTTACCTTCAGAATTATTGCCGTTGTCGGTCACACCAGTACCCGGAAGGGCTGGAGCTGCTTCAGAACATCCACCATCGCCGGCACCGCACCACAGCACACAGAGGGCACATAGCAACAGCAGGCGGCCAGTCACCATCATCATCACGGCTGCACACACAGTCTAGAGAGGGGCAAAGAGAGGAGGATGAAAAGAACACACAAACGCATCAGCAGCATGGAGAAGAAGGGGTGGCGTTTACATGAGGGCTGTTGTCATGACCATGGGAGACGCGTGCACGCAGGAATAACAAGCAACAATAAAACACCGGACAGCACGGCGCACAACTCCATGGCATTTAAAGCCCTCCCGCAGCTGCCCCTAATGGAA